ACATTTTCTAAAATTAGAAATTAAAATAAGTTCTTTACAATTGGCTTATATATATTCATAAACAACTTTAGTTCTCCTTTCGTTTGATTGGTTATTAGTTAAATGTTTTCAAGAATTAGCACAACAATTGGTTTGTGGTTAATATAGCAGAAGTGGAGAAGCCTCAACTTTTCCAAATTAAATAAAATAAATGAGAGCCAATTGAAAGCAATAAATTGACACTTTTCTTTGCGTAATAAAACTTCTTTGCCACACCAAAATCAAAGCATAATTTTCTTGCTTTTAGTTGAAGCATTTTGCTTTGATCAATTTATGGCCGGCACGTTTCCACGCTAACTGACTCAAAACAATTTCGCGGCACACGTGTTCTGGCTGCCATGACGAAACTAAAACCAAAACTAAAACCAAAAACCAATTGAGATACCCGGGAAAAGTGAGGAAATGACCGCAGCTAAAACAAAGGTGCCTACCTGCAGGGGTCCAGCAGTTGGTGGCTTCGATTTTTTGGGATAGAAATGCGGGATTCTCGGTACGGTCATGGTACAGAATCCCTGTTTGTCTTTATGGAGCCACGTGCTCGTTTTGCTGGCCGACGTTGCTCACTGGCCAGGAAATTCATGGCCACTTAAATGCTGTAAAATGGACCAAGCTGCCGGCACTAAAAACCAAAAGTTGCTCTACCAAAACTTTAGTTTAGCTTTCATATAGACACACACAAACTCACACACCTAGGTTGCTTTTATGGCTCATCATTTTTTCTATTCGTTTTTTTTGCTCCTCGCTAATATTTTTTCTGTTTGGGTCAGACATAAAAAGTTAAAGTTGAACTTTTTCTAGTTGAACGGGTAGCCAGCGGTAAATCAGTTTTTATTGTGCATAAATTAAAAATGTTCAATTAAAACCAGAAGAAAGAAGAAGTTTCTGGTTGCCTTTTTTTTTACAAAGAACACGTGGCTGGTTGCTCAATTTCAGCTTGAGTTTTCTGGCCAACTTTGCCGGTCTTTTGTGAAACAAAAGACTGAAATTATAAGAAACTTTGAACATAGATCAAATGGCTTTTCAACAATTTAGTTGGAAAAACATGTTGAAATTGCATGGAAATTGAAACTGAGAACATATGCCTGGGACACATGTCGTATGCGCAATATTCAATGCACGACCAATTGTCCCAGCAATTATTTATACATTTGTTGCACATTAATGCATAATTATTGTCAATAATTAACACAATAAAAACAATGAATTCTGCTTCGAATTACAATACCCTACATTTTTTTCGTGTCATCCTGATTCGTATGCGTTGCCATAATCAGCTGCAAACCCATTACCCTTTTTATTATCTTCATTAATAATGCAGCTCGAAATCCTACTCTGGCACTTAATTTTGTTTATTCGCGTTCATTAAATGTATTAAGCTCAAAATGGATGCCATTTCGTTGATTAACAAAAGAAGGGTCCGATATGTGCATTATAATATTCTGTAATAGCAGGGAAACGGATTTTGCTCGGATAAATATTGCAACGAGTAAAAATGTGCAATATGACGTCGGGTGGCAGAAATGAAAATAATGATTGCATAACATAAATTTAATGAATTCGTACTTAAGGGAATAATGGCTGTATTTGAATGAATGAATAACATTCAGTTGTCTGTTGGATATTTTGAAAAGGTTGATTTGTAAACTCTTTTTCTGCTGAATAAAATCCTTATAAATTGCAAATATAAAACAGACAGTCATTATTGGCAGAAAAGCTTAAAGATTTCTTAATATTTCTTTATGACTTTTTACTTCTCTCTTAAGCCCAAGTCAATTTTAAGCTGTCGTTCCTTACAAACTCAATTCCAGATAAAATGGCTTCCAAAATGGTAATTACAAAATTTTGTAGAAAATGTATTTTTCCCTTTTCAAGCTTTCCGTATATTTTTTTGACATTTTCGAGCCGAAACTAACAAACTATAAAATTCAAGCTGAATATCTGTCAACGAGTCGAATGCATGTCCCCAAGGCGATGAAAATCAATTTGCAATGCAGCGTAGCAGGAAAAAAAGCCGATGGCAAAAGGGAAAATATTCAGAGACACATGCCGTGGCGCACAGCCTTTGCATCTGAATCTGATTCTGAATCTGAGTCTCAGTCTGCCGCTGAATCTGAATCGGAGGGAATCAAGGAGCTGGAATCAGCGAGCAGAAGGAATGCCAAGCAATGCAAATAGCTCTAAATGCATTTGACGATGCTGTGATTTGATTTCGATATTCTCGCACTGTCTGTATGTGTGTTGACTTTCAATTTCTTGTCGCGAGCGTAAGTTTTTCCCCGGCCTTCACTTTTCCCACCACTTTTCCCAACCTGATTATAACTCGAATGCAGCGACTTCTGGCTTTGGCAAAAAATGTCATTGGAAAGTTTTGGGAGAACTCGAAGATGCTGCTTGCCAGCTTCCGCTTCCGTTTAATCATTTTCCGCTTTGTTGTTATGCCGTTGGGCTGATTGCCATCGTTCACTTAGCTGATTGCAGTAGCTATCAAAAATTCGCAGCGACAACGTGTCGTATGCGTGATATTATGCCAGGTCGTGCTCATTCGCACTTGTCTCGCTGGCATCTTCATTCATATTGTGCGATGCAGTGAACAAAAAGTATCTAAGATCTTAAGGGATTATAAAAAATTTATATAATTTGTATTTCTTTTGGTTTTATAGAACAATATTAGGGTACCGAAAAACAGCCTTCTTAAGGAAGTTATGATTTAAAATTCTCATTTTAAGCTTTGTTTCCTTACTTTTTCCTTAAGTGTTTGTCAGTTGGAAATGGAACGAAAGAAGGAAAAGTGAGGAACCTGTGAGGGAAAAAACTTTGTTAATTTTCGAGCAACTCACGCAATAAAGCAAGCGCAGGCAGCGCATCACGTGCGCATTTAAGTTGCAAGTTACAACGGCAACGTGCCGCATCCAAAGATACACAGATACCGTACACCGGGCATGAGCAGCAGCAGTACACACACATACACTCACATAAAGATACGCACTCATACCGACATAAATACAGGACTAGTTAGCTCATGTCAGTGTAAATTTTACACACAGGCGAAACCTGATGCCGCATACAAAACCCTGGGAGCTGCTCCTCACCTTTTTGCGGTTTATATTCAAGAGCGCGTGTGCAATAAAAAGATATACCCAGCCGTGGCATAACGGAAGTCGAGGCAAGTTTTTGGCATCCACGGCAGGATGCAGTAGGACGCTCCCGGGAAACGGCGGGATGTGAAGGTGGAAGTTGGGCAGTGGGAAAGCACATAGCTGGCTGCGCTGCATAATCAGGCAAAGGCGACGGCGACAACGACAACATTTATCAAATGAAATGCACGTGCCAAGCGTTTGCCAGGCCCGCTTCCGTGTGGCGCCCCCCTTTGCCCGGGATAAGGTTCTCCGAGGTGCCATAGCTCCGAGGCTAGCTTGTGCCCGAGGTGCGCTAGAGAAGTTATATGATGGTGTCGTAGGCGAACGCTAGAATATGGGAAGCTTGAAAAGTCTTCACAGAGTGGCATTCTCTTTACAATTTGTTTAAAAACATGCAGTGACATATTTTATTTTGGAAATGTTAGAATGTTTATGATGATATAATATTTTAAAGCTGTTAACGATTCGTATACAGATTTAGATTTTAATAAGGTTTTGACTCCGGTTTTGACCAATCGCTTTTTGATGTTTCATTGTTCTGACCTTTTAATCCTTCTGATAAAGTTCTCAATCATATATCTCTAAATACATGAATCTCATTAGGGACCCCTACTTAATATTCAACCCTCGTTCTGAAAGTATCTATTTTCTCGGTTTATATATATGCCTTCCTATTGTATATACGAGCGAAATCAGCTGCCAAGTGCAGTGCATTTCTGTAATTATAATGAGCCAAGTTTCTGGCTTCAGTTTCTTTTTCAATGAATTAACGCAGTGCAGCGATATGGAACTTTGAGCCCTCAGAACAAGTTATGGAAAATATGAATTGTTTTTTGTTGAGTTTTGTCTGGGATTTATTACACAAATATTTTTCTAGAGGCTTCAAATCCTTAAACAACTTTTAATAGAAAAAACAGAATTCTGTTTTTAAAAAATCACAGTTACATAGATAGAACGGAGTTCTTCTTCCGATGTTCTATGTCCTTAAAACATCACATATATGTAGTTCTTAAAAAGCGATTTTTTTTTTGTCAGATGTTCGCTTAAATAACTGAATGGGATCATGGGATGCCTTTAAAATTCGATTATAATCCCTTCGGCATTCGTCTCGGGTGCACCGATGGCTGCCTCCCCCTTTTTGGCGCCCATCCAGAAATTGCATTCTGCTGTCGTGGAAGTTTCTGCACCTTGCAACCAAGTGGCTGCCACTGTTGCCACTGCTCCTTCAGCTGCTTAAGTGCCATGCATTGAGATTGAGTTGTTTTCCTTGCAGCCACACCACCGCACATCTCATCCTTCAAGGCGCATTCCACTCGAGAAAATCGATGATGTCTTGGGTGCTTTTGTTTTTCCAGCCGCACTCCAACTTGAAAATGTTTTGATAAACTAGCGCGTACTGGCTATGCAAAGGAGAGAAAACTAAAGAAAAAGAAAATGTAGAAGGAGAAGTGGAAAAAAAGGGCACCGACAGCAACTTTAAGCTGCAACAAATGCAGCAACAACGGCAATTCAGCCAACAACAGCTTAAGCAGTTGTCAAAACGTTGTTGCTGGCTCTGAAGGGAACAAACTTTTTGGCCAACTGTCGAACAACAAGCGAGATGAAATTGGTAAAACAATTGTCAATGCGTCAATTTGAATGGATTCCAGTTGCAGCAAAAAGCGGCAGCCTCAGCAGATAAAAACATCAACAAGAACAAGTGTCGAAAGTTTGGCCAAGAAACTTCGGCAAAACAATGCACAGAAAGAAAATAGGTTTAGTAGTGTCTGCTTTTCTATGATTTCTATATAGAATATCAACATTTCGTTTGTCTTATATATTTTCCTATGTGCAAGTAGTCCTTGGCCTAAAAATCTGTAAACAAATCAAACAAAGCCGAGCGAGATATTCAACGAGCAACAAGGTAAACTATGAACTGGAAATTTCTTATTTGGTGCCTGCTCGGCTACTCTTTCGGTAAGTGGACTTGAGTGCTTTAATTAACCCTGAATACAATCGACTTAAGAACCCTATGCAATCCAAGTAGTTATTGCGATCGAGGCCAAATGTCTGCGGGGCACAGGCCACATGTGGCAGCAGAAGCCTCCCACTGGCACAGCCAGTTGCAATCGACCGTCATTACAGCCCGGCAATGCAACGGCAATGGGTAAGCCAGCTAGGTCTGCACTCGACATGGCAGCAACTACAATGGAAACAGCATCAGATCCGGAGGTTGAAGAAACCGTAGTAACTGCCCCTCCTGCGGTGATTCTGGCCAACTATGGCCGAATGCGCCAGCCGCCGGACGGCAAGCAGTTGCAGCAAGCAGCCGGAGCTAGTGCTGGAGCTGGAGCCGGAATCGAAGCCGGAATTCTTTGAATCCGGTCCGGAGCCGGAGGTGCCTAAGCCCCGGACTGTTACACTGGCAGTCGGGGAACTGACAGTTTTCAAACCAACTGGGTGAGATGGCTTCATCATGGGATTAATCTGGCTGCTGGGACGGGTGATTTAATCCTGATATATACACAGACTGGCATATATTTCATAAGGCAATAAAGTTAGCCAAGCCAATTGCTCTAATTTTTAGTTATTTGTGGGCCTAAGAAGCAGTTAAGATTTGAGGAAGGACGTTTTTTGAGTAATTAAAGTGATTTTTGATTTAGATTAACAATCACTCCCTTCTGTTCCTCCATATCAACATCTGTTTTTCGTAACAATTGCAGTTGGGAAAGCATTGCATTTGTTACGCTTTTTTTCTACAAAAGTATACAAAGTGACTGTAAACACAGAGGCATCTTGTGTGCTCAAGCGATAAGAAGTGGAATTATTATTCAGTTGTAAACTAAAAGCGTTTCACTTATCAGTAGCAGCAGCAGATCTCTATAGTTAAGCTTTGGAATCTCAGTTCCATTAGTTCAGTCATGGCAGATTGGCTCACCTCTGAATACCTGGAAGCAGCACTGCAACAGCATTACGAGAACAATCAACTTCGAGTGGAATTTGTGGCTATAAATCCCGCCTTGGGAAAAGGAGAAAACTATGGTGCGATTTTATCACGTATACGCCTTGTTTACCGCAATCGGCTAGGCAGCAAAGTTGAAGAGCATCTGATTGCTAAGACCATATTAGAGAATGAAGATGTGGAAACCAAAGAAAAGAAAGCTCCATACGATATTTACAACAGAGAACTGGAGATTTACGAAAAAGTGCTGCCCAAGTTGCAGAAAATAGCTGGCGAACAGCTATGTCCTACAGTCTTACACATTGATCGTCAGCGAGGGGCTTTAATCATGGAGGACTTGAGATATAAAGGATATGTGATGGCCCCACGACTTGAGAGATTAAATGAGCACCATGTAAGTCTTGTTCTAAGAAAGCTAGCAAAAATGCAAGCAGCTTCAGCGGTTTTGGAGGAAAATTCAAAGGAAAGTCCCTTTTCACTAACCAAATACGATCGTGGCTTCTTCAATCGCTATACTGAGAGTTTTAGTGCATACTTCCTGGGCTGCCTGATGTCCTGTGCCAATTACTTGAAAACACAGCCAGGCTATGGATGTCAGGCCAAACTATTAGAGAACCTGGCCCCCCACTATATGCGACTGGGACTTCGCTGTTTTCAGCCCGAGGATGCGCACATTAATGTCCTTACCCACGGCGACCTGTGGACAAACAACATGATGTTCAAATACGAGGAGGGCGTGCCGAGCGATGTCCTTCTGATTGACTTCCAGTACGCCTTCTGGGGTTCGCCCACCCTGGACATCCATCACCTGCTCAACACGTCGGCTGTTGAGCAAGTGAGAAGCGAGCTTCAAATTAAGATGAGATGTGTCTACCATGATGTATTCGTGGAGGAGCTAAAAAGGCACGGCTTCAAAAGTCAGAGGTTGCCCAGTCGAAAGCAGTTTCACCTGGAATCGGAGCAGAAGCGGTTCTACGGTGGGTAAACAAGAAGACTTAATCTTCGAGAGATTAGAAAAAATGTTGAATAATTTATATTTTTGCGAATTGCAAAGTTATTTTAAGCAAGTTTCCAATATAGTGATCAAAATCATTCATCATAGACATTATGAACATTCGAACATTAAACCCAAGCTAATTCTATTCAAATTTAAATGCATTTATATTAAGGAGTCTTTCATTTAATCCTGCAGCTGTTCACTGTGGCCTGCTGCTGCAACCCGTGCTGCTAAACACCGATGAAACGGATGCGGATTTTGCCGCCCTGCTCTCGGATCAGCCTCGTGGGATGAACATGAAAAGGCGGTTGTATCTCAATTCGGCCATACAGGACTCCATTAGGCAGTTGGTGGGGCAATTCGAGCTCGAGGGACTCCTGGACCCACGGCAGTACGAAGGACTCTGAAAACCTGACCGAAACGTATTTTCAGCTTTTTCATAAACTCCGCCATTGGACATTTCAATTAGACGAGCTAATAAACATAAAACATGGCAGCCACGGCCGCAGGCATTTTAAAGCCAACCGTCAGAAGCTTTTTGAATTATGAACCGAGTCGAATGAAAAAAAGGAAAGAAAAGCACCAGAACGAAAACACATTCAGTTGGCCTAGACAAAAGCGCAACACATTTAGCTGCTGCTGATGCTGCTGCGAAATGGAAAAGCGGAAAGTCGGAGGTGGCAAATGGAAGGACGAGAATAGTTACACACATTTTTTGAATTGTTTAGCATTTTGAATGAGTGAATGAACGGACGCCATGCCGAGCTGTGAGTGCGTGTCTGCCGCAGAAAAAAAATGAAAAGAAATGGAAAATGGAAAATGTGAATGTTGATGTTGGTATTGGTGTGTGTGTGGACAGGCGGAGATTTGGTGGGAAACTTTGGGGTAGAAATCTCCTGGACGTGCTTCTGCCCTCTGCTTAATTAAAACTTTGGTGCGAAATGCCGGCCAAGCTGTTGGAAAATTAACTAAATTATGATGTGTCTGCCGCTGGCATTGCAGCATTCAAAAACTGCATTAAAGCCGAGTGCAATTAGGCTAAGCTTTGCCATTTAGCACGGCCTGTGCCTAAAACTAGGCAAGAGTTTATTATAGTTAAAAGCAATAGAGGAAAACAGTCAAACATCGCTAGCTAGGACATAGCTATGGCAACAAATTAAATTTACCAAATTATTTATCTCGAAGATTTTTAAGCTGATTAGCTATAGTTCTTGTAGCACTCTTTTAGGCATAAACATAAATTGTTATTAAAATATTGTAGTTAAAAGAAACAAGGTCCATTTACTTAAGGTTCTACTGTAGTTCTCCCCAGAAAAATGTAGTATAAAAGACTAGAAAATAACGATAGCAGATTCGACGCCATAACATTTCGAAAATTCCAACTAAGCCTAATGCATGCCATTTAACGATTGTCTTTGTGTGCAAAAATAAGAGAGTGCGAGTGTGATTGTGATACTGTGTGTGTGTGTGTGTGTACCTGCTTGTTTATGTGTTTGCTATCTTGCTAAGAGATGTCCTCGAAAGCGACATAAATGTTGCACATAAAAAGCAGACCGATTCCACAGTTTTATTTTCTGCTGCCATCGCCGTTTAATGTTCTGTTTTTTTCCCCTGAATTTCCCAGATCCTTTTTACCTTGTTTATGTGACTGAACGTGTGTGTATTTGTGTGTCTTCCATCCTTGTCCAATCTTTTTATGCGCTGTTATGTCAATGATTAATAAACCAAGAGTAAAATTCACAATTTATGCATTTCGGAAAAAGAGCATCAATGACATTTTTAAATTATTTTATTACACATCAAATTAATATTTCAGAAATATTGTTCTTAATATACTCTTTTTAAAAAACAGATATTTTCCATATTTTATTCGCTTAAGTGGAGAGGATGCTCATATTCACTTAAAAAAGTGTTAATATTGATTTAACTTAATGGAAAGCTGAGTACTAACTTGCTTTCATATTTTTTCCATTATTAGCTTTAGTTACTTTTTCAATGTGTTTCATTATTTTTTTGCTAATGAAAAGACGAGCTTGTTGCATTTTCCTCAAATGAAAATACGAACATGTAAACATCATGAATTGTTTATGAAAAACTCGTTTCACTTTTTACCCATTGGCTTTATTTGATTTCGTTTTTGCGTAATTCTGACGTCGAGCAGATGGGGGATTTTATTTTTACCTTCCTTAATTGTATTTCTGTTGAAATGACAAGCTCAGGTTTTTTGGCCAAACTTTCTATGCCAGTGAGGCAAAATTTGATTTAAGCCATTCCATGGATTAAAACTTTTGGCTAGCCCAGAGCACAGCACCAAAAAAAAAGTGGAAACAAAAATGAAAATCAAAGTTTACTTGGGGCTTGGAGTGGTGTGGTGGAAGGAAAATATTAAAATTGCTGTCCAGCCATGGTCTGGATTTATTTTCTTAATCCAAATAATGTCAAAAAGCCACAAACAAGCGACAGCCACATAAAACAACTTAGCAAATGAGCACACACACATATATACTCATACTCATGCTCTGACAAGAGGGAGAACCCGAAGAAAAATGTAATTTATTGTTATTACGAAAATAAATAAGAAAGGCAAGACACAGCAAAGGAACAAAATGAATCGGGGGGCTGGTGGCGGGCAGGCACGACCACGCCCACCTCACACACATACATGTGGCAAAGCTGCAATGCTGAAATTGTGGCAAATAAAAGCGAAGAAATTAAGCAACTGACCGCTGGCAAATAAACCCAAAAACACACTTACACACCCAAACGCAGAACTCAGACAAAGAAAAAGCACAAGAAATGGCAACGGCAGCCATTTTATATGCCATTACATTGTAAATAAAGTATTGTTTATTCCTGATACGTATGTGTGTAGGTTTAGTGAACTATAACAAGTGAATTTATGTGAAACCGAAGTTGTGCCAATGCCACATTTACTTAATAACCCGGTAGCCAATCTTTGTTCTGGATTTATTTGTCACTGGGAAGGCGAAAAACCAAATTCCAATGGCACTTAATCAGCTCTTAAATGGGATAGACTTTGGCTTTTTAATCTAATCAACTCGATACCACACACACACACAGACACACACAAACACACACATTAAAACCGGAAAAAGAGGTGTTGCCAAATGTTTTTCGCAAATTGCAAAACTTCATCAGTTGCAACATTCTATTGCATATTTGTAGGAGGAAAATTCCCCAAACCCTACTGCATAGTACTGGGTACTTTGGATGGTCGGAAAATTTCAATTTATCTGCAGCCAGCTGAGCCATCGAGTTGATTTCGCCCGCCCGGAAAACCCTTCGGGTCAAGTGTGAGTAATTACCGCAGTTAGGCCGATCCGGGCCAAAAGGAACCTGAGCAGGCAAATGAAATTTCCATGAGTCCAAGGGCCAAGCTTTAAAAATAGCTGCCTCCTGCGGGGAAAATGGGTAAAAGAGCGGTTGTTTTTGTATTTTCTGCTGCTCAGTTGAGCAGATTCTCCGTTTATGTGTGTATGTGTATGCAAGAGGTCAGGCAACACTTGACTAAACATTTTCATTTTGGCCAAGGGTGGCCAGAAGTCAATGAATTTTGCCACATGGCGTATGCTTGATATTGCGTGTTGTGTTTTTCTAGCGCTAAATGATTTCATTAAGTGCGAGTCCCAGCACGCGGGGAAAACGATAAAATACATATTTCTAACAAGTGCATAGAGAGGCATTTTTAATTAGATTTTAGGATTTAAATGATTAGTTTTCGTATTTCAGTCTTAGAGGTGTTTGTTTTTCTCAAAAAAAGTCACTCTCTGCATTTTCAAGCCTACAAAAGGAAACTTTATTCTAATCCATATCAAAGTAGAGAAAATTCCACTTTGATTTGCCTTTGAATTTTAATTGGCTTGAAAATCTAATTATGATTTTAATTGTAATCAAATATTGATAATGCCATAAGTGAATTTCCCATGCCGGACCAAAGTCGAAAGTCATGACCTTTCCATTCCGAGAAAAGGTGGCGTCAATGACACATGGAATGCGGCGACTTATGTACATGTCGAACAAAAATGTAATTTATTCAGTGCTGGATGATGGGGCCGAAACAAAGACAGTGCCACGCCTCAACAATGCCCACATAATGAAAGACAAACAAAGCATTCTTTTAGGCGCCGCTGCAGCTGTTTGACACGGATAGCTGATGTCTTCGCCTGTGTGTCTGTCTCTGTGTTTTTGTGTCTTGGGTGTGTCAAAGTTCAAAGGACGAGGCGTAAGAATTAAAACGGATTAGTTGAGCAACGACATCATACAGAGGGAGAGAGACTAGCCAACGGCTTCGATCCATCATCTTGGCACCAAGGGGTTAATGTCCCAATTGCATCAACAGTGTGCGTACGGGCCTCGAGATAAATCCATTTTCCAGACAGTTATTGAAAACTTATTAGCCTGCAGGCTGGTCGGGGAAAATTGTGTAAGCCATGTGAGGACACTTTAATATTCTCCAAGGAATTCCAACATATTTGTAGTGCTGTCCATCGACTGGAAAGTGGACAAATATGAAATTGACTAAATCAATGGCTTCTGAATCTAATTGATTTAGTCGAGATGGAATTTAATTGCAGACAAATATCTTAAGGGTCTAATGGGAAATAGCTTTGGAATTAATAATTGAGATGCCTTGAATGTTTTACAATTGCAGTAACAAGTTTGTCTTCTAAAAGGAACCGTTAAGAGTAAACAAAAACTGTTAAAGAGAAGAATTTCTCTCATCTCAGAGAGAGAGGGAGTTTTTTAAATATGGACTTTCTCTCATCCACTCTCTGACTCTCCCTCTCTGCAGAAAAGCTCTTAAAGCTTTTCTCTCTCTGAACTCAAAAGGATGCTGGATGAAAATGTCTCAAGTTCTGGGCATAATGAGTCCTTTTATTGAGTGCTTATTGAGTTAAGCGCTTTTCACACTTGATATCCCTTTGCATTACCCTTGGCTGTTGTGTGTGCGATTCCACTTGGCTTAAATTTCATTTTGCTGTGTCTTCAGCATTAGCCAGCACATTCCTACTTTCTTTGCCCGCAATTCAGTTTTTGTTGCCACTTCATTTTGGCCCAAAAGAGACAGAGATATAGAGAGGGGAGGATAAGACTTTTGTTTTTTATCTTGCTGTTTGCCCTGCCTTGAGTTACCCGTTTGCCTTCTGCTCCTTATCTCTGCCCTTTTTTCCAATTTTTTTCCCTTAGTTTTTTGGCTTTGTTTTTGTTTTTATTGAACAGCGCTTTCATTGTTTGATTTTTGTCAACGCTTCTCTGGCTCGGCTTCACTTTGCTTACATAAGTGCTCGTCCTTTCGTCCTGCTAACTTGGCCAAGATGGTTTTGCTCGAGGACTCTGCCATTTGTTTCTGCATCTTGCGTGTTTGGTATTGCTCTTTTTTCCCTGTTTTTTTTTTTGTTATTTGGCTTACCCATTGGCCATTGTTCTTTTCTCGGTTAGTTGGTCTTTTAATCGCCTTGCTTAGTTATCCTGCCAACTGACTTTAGCCATCTTTAGCCGGGCTTTTCATTTCAATTAGTCGGAGAGCGTTGCTTAAAGTGCTTTGCCGCTCTTGCCAACATAATCCCAATGCTGCCTCCGGGTTGAGTTATTAGGTTAATATTTAATTGACATTTCGCCAGATCAAAGTTGGGAGGTATATGGAGCTACTTTATTATTTTTAACCTAGGCTTAGCTGTGTGACGTGCTGGGATTTTGTTTTATCACCATTGATACGCTAATTACAGGCGATAATTTATCAAACACAAACACACACATTCGTGCACATGTGTTCAGCAGACTGCTTAAAAATTCAGCTGCAGTGGCAAAAATTGCTACTTAATTATCCCATCCTTTGTACATCCACCCAAACTCCCTGGCGATTTCCCCTCCGCTATCCATCCTTGGCTCATCTTCGTCGTCAATGTCACGACTGCATGCCGCCATTCCTACCTCCCTTCAGTTGGGGTAACTTTACAATTAACTACTAATTGCTCATACGCCACGTTGCCCGGATAGAACAAAGTCAGGTGTGCGTGGCGGCAGCAGCAGCAGTTTTCCACCTTCCTCCACCCTCACCTCTATTTTTCTTATCCCTCTGCCCTTTTTCTCTAATTATCCGCGTTGTCACCCACCTGACTGCGTTGTTGTCGCCATCGCTGTCTGGAATTTACTGAATTAAGTTTTAAATTTTTATTAAATGCCTTTGCGCATTTTTCGTCCCCCGCTTTCAGCTACTGTAATTAGTTTTTAATTGCTTTTCAGCTGAAGTAACTATGCCTGGCTACGATCCACCAAAACGTAAATAGTTCATGTAATAGTTCTCTATCTCGCTCTCTTAAAGATTTCCCATTTTCATTTCAGTTTTTTTAGTAAACTTTCACGCGGCGCTCAGCTGCGGCAAAGTCAATCAGCAATTGGGTCTGATCCACATCAACGGCTGGCTGGGAAAATGGCATGAAAAATATGCGCACAAAAAAATGAAAACCAGTGAAAAGAGAGAGAGAGAGAGAGACCGCAGGAATGAAAAGGAAAGTAATCACAAAACTTTCGCAATAAATCTATGAAAATATTGAAAAACCCAAAGTGCTAGCCGGCATCTCTCCCTCACTATTAGGTTTTCAATATATCACACACATAAGGAGGATGTCAATATGGAAATGGATAGGTCACGACAAAGTTCACTGTGACAATAAAATACTCTCAGATCTGGATTAACAAAAGAGGCGTCTGCCCAATCTAGGGGAGATTAAATTGCCACATTCATTCAAAAAAGTTTAAGGTTACAACCTTTATCAATTTTATGTTACCAGTAAAACTTATTTTCACTTAATCATAATTAATTATACATTATATATTCGAAAAACGATAAATGTAAGCTGTCGAAACATTTATTGCCCCAATTAAAAAAGTTTTTTTGCGTTTAAATTGCTATTCAATCACCCCCTATTGAAATCCAAATTCTTATAATTTATGTTCCTGTCAACAAATTATGTTCTGCCAACTCTGGGTATCAGGTAGCTTTAATCACATAAGGCAAATACTTCACTCCCACAGAGTATCAATCAGCAAACATTGTATCCAAAAAGGTCCTTCAGCTCCATGTTCGTTCCAATTTATGCACACAAACACACAATGCTATATCCGCACAAACACACACTCATACGCGGACTCACCTCATGCAAATTGCAAACACATGTCGAAGGCGCAAAACATTGTCAAGCAAAATGAAAAATTTATGAAAACGAAAATGAAACAACAACAAGAAGAGCAGCGAAAAATAAGTCGCGCCCGTCTGCAAAAAAAGTGAACAAAAAAAATAAAACATACATATTTTGCAGAGGGAGCTGGTGAAAAAAGTGAAATTTTCGTTTCGTTTACGTGAAACTTCCAACTCATTTCGCCCAAATGACAAGCCATTTTGTGTGCCAAGTGCCAAATATTTTACATGCCAGCCAGCCAAATACATTTTGGCACAAAACAGTTCAACAAAATGGTGAATATCGTAGGGAAAGGAAACGAGCAGAGCAGCTGGCCCGCCTTTGCGAAATCACTCATACGCAACGTTGACGCCGAGAGCATTGAACAGCTTCAATTGCCGTTTGATGGTTCATTAAAATTTTGCCTGCTGCATTGCATCGAAGCAATCGAGCACAATAAATCGAGACCAGGTGCTCCGATTCGAGCATTTAAATATACGATGTACGATGCAATGGCTCCTAAAGGTGCTCAAACGTTCAAGTTGGGGCAGATGGTTGAAGCTATTTGCCTGTGGCACCTATGCTAAATTAATGTTTTGCCACAAGCTTAGATAAATAGCAAAATAAATTAAAGTGTGCAACTTGGCCTGCATCTTAATTGCCGAGCGAAGTCGAGTCTTGAGTGGATCTTAACCTGAAAAAACATATTCTCACTCTGTGGAATAATATTAATGGGATACCTGGCACATGTGCGCAAGTATTTACAATCGTTACATATCCTGAAATTGAAAGACATTAAATGGAGTACTAAGAAAGAAATCTCATACGCCGGTGACACTCGACCGGAAACACGGAAAAAAAGGTTTTGATTTTTAGAAATGGGGATGATACAGGGAAAATATGATACATACCATTTAGATTTCATATTTGTTTTGAAAAGTTTATAAAGCAAATTATAGGTAACGGATGTCTATGACATATTAGTTATAAAGTCATCATAATTAATAATAACTGCACATCCCCCACATTTATTTAGCTCTGACTGTTAGCCAAATTAATGTGGCTAAAAATCTGTTGGATAACCAAACCCCACTAAGATTATAAGCACCTAGCATTCCCCCCATACGACGGGGTATTGCCCTGTCGAGTATCTGGGGTTGAGTAAATTTTCGACAGGCTTTTCATGCCACTCACGCAGGTGCTTTTCCTGGCCAGAGCCACGCACATATCTAATTTTAAACATTTTTCAAACTCAATTACATTCCGAGAAGTCGCGACGTGGGAGGCTGGCTGGATGATGGGGCGATAAGGGATATGTATGTTGGTGTGCCCCAGGCAGGTAATTGCTTGCAAATTACACAGTAATACTCCCGCTGTAACACCGGGAAGTAAAAACCAAGGGGAGACAAAAACTGCGAACTGCCAAAAACGGAAAAGTTTCCAGCATAGCTGCCTGAAGTTGAGGGGAGAGTCGTCTTTCGTAATGAAATCAAACAAAGACACCGAATACGAGATGAGTGAGGTGGGAAAATCATCTTAAATTAGCAGCAAAACTCGGCAATTATGCGAGAAGTTGGCCAAGAACAGTTGGCAACTCCACATTTTTTGCGTAAGTCTGTGTGTATGAGTGACTCCCACTACAGAGCAAATGCTAATGACTTCAAGTGCCCGCACACACACACACACACAGACAAAGTCAAAGAGAAAGCGAAACGAGGGTGGGAGAAAGTCAAGCCACAGGTTGACTGACAAACACATCGACGGCACCAAGAGTGGCTGCCGGAAATGGCAGCGCCGAATGGTAGAGCACAAAATGGCTGTTTGTTTGCTTCCGGTCTAGGCCAAAGACGGCAAACACATTTAGCCACGAAGTGAGGAAAGTCCCGCCCAGCCCTCGTACATATTTTATGCAAACGAAAAGCACACTCTACTCTACTGCTAACAAATACAAAAAAAAGAGGAAAGTAGAAAACCCCCTATTCCTATAGGTGTGCTCGCCGCAAACTTAAAATGAAAAACCGCGACTTCTCTTCACCTTTCCACTGCCACTGTCACTCGCCCTACCTCTGCCTGACCTGGCCCCATTCAAAATGCTTAGTTCATATTAATAATTCATAAAAATTTATGCGAAATAGACAACACTCTCGTTTCTGTGGTCTAAACCTGGCTGACAGCTGCCATTTTGCGGTCGATGCGGCCGATGAAGTCGACTTTCAGAGCCAGCTGTTTCCCATATTTTTGATATGCATTCCCCCGTTGTTTTTATGTTTTTATTCAGCTCTTTGTTTACATAACATACAGCTGCTGCAAAAACACCATATTTCGCCCATGTTGATGTTGCCCGTTCACTCCATTGTTTTTTGTACCAATTTATTTTCTGCATATAAGCTTACATTTTTGAGCAAGGTTCCGCCTAGTGTGTGTTCCGTTTCGTGTAACCTTGCTTCTGGGCTATTTCAGGATGGTAAATGTAGCGAATATATGAAAAACTTTAAGCTTGTTTCAGAAATTATAAAATATGCAGAGCCTGCTAGTTCCAAGAAGGACAGAAAATGTCTGTCATCTATTTAATCCACTGAAGAAGCCCTTGAGGGGCTTGTTTCACTAACAAATTGTAGTTTTTACAGTAGTTCGTAAGTACGTAAAACCACCGTTTATAAGTTAAGAGATTCTAATATGATCTTTCTTACTAATAAAATATCTAATATTTTCTTTTATATTCTTTTAAATTTATGTTTTTTCCAAATATAACAAAGGCATAAACATTCATTTTCTCCATCATTCTCTCACTTATATGCTTTTTATAATTTCGTTTTATAAGCTTGAAAAATCTACGACGCCGGCAATTATAAAATGTAATTTCACATTAATCCGCTTAAAAATGAAAAGAAATTGAATTTTATACCTCCCCCCAAAGGCCACATTCAATGACAGATTTTTTTCCAATTCACTGAGTGATGCGATTAAGCCAGTTAGATACACATTTCCAAATCAAGGCAGTTTAAGCATCTTAGGTCCATTAAATTTAAAAAATTGTATATGTTTAAAATGAAGTTTTTTCTCAGTTTCATATTTAGATTCCTGTTGCCATTAAGAGCAGCCTGCTGCTGGACTCGCAGGAAGTGCTTTCAAGCCGAGGCCGGGATCCTACAGTGGTTGCAAAGGCATCGTGAGAAATTCGTGTTCTACGTTCATCATATTTGGGCAATTTTTATTCTCTTTCTGATTGGAGTTATCTTCGTCTACGAATTGTGGTACGTTTTGCCGATGTTAGCCGATACCCAGGGCATATGGCACAAGTTAAACTGGTTGCTGGGAATCTATATTGTCTTTAATATATTGGGAAATTGGTGGCTAGCCTTTGAGAGCAATACATCGGTTGAGAGTTTGTCCCTGAAACGACAGCTACCGGAGCCTGGTGAAGCTCACCTGTGGCACTATTGTCCCACCTGCCAAAAGTTTGTGCCACCTAGGTCCTGGCACTGCAGGTTGTGCAACACCTGCATTCTGAAGCGAGATCATCACTGCATCATCACGGGCAACTGCATTGGCCATAATAACCAGCGATACTTCCTGGCCTTCTTGTTTCATCTGACCTTCGGTTGTGGAGTGGCCCTCGTGTATAATGTCATGTTGTCCTGGAAAAACAATGCCTTTATTGTTGCTGAGCCTATTTTAGTAGTTGGACAAGATTACTCACAAGATCCTGATTTAAACTGGAAGATCTTGATCGCCACCTTGGTTAAATTGAACTTTTTCCTTTTCATGGTTCCCCTGCTAATGTTTGTCTTTCAAATGGTGATGGTCCATAGGAACAGTTCTTGCTATATGATGCTGGACCGGAGCTACGATGTCGGCTGGCGGCGAAACTTTGACATTGTCCTGGGAAAACGAAGGTTCTGGGTATTCCTCTCCCCAACGGTAGCAAGTCCTCTTCCCAATGATGGAGCCCAGTGGATCCAGAAGCAGTTTGTATAACTGATTTACAAATTGAAAAAGAAAACGGAAATACCTGAATCCTGATTCCTCATCTCATGATCAATATTTTGCCGGCTTAATGCCTGGCTTCATGTTGGCTTACCAAATTCAGATTTTATGCTTTAACTCTAGTTACTAGATTGATCGCAACTTATGACTATAAGCTTATCATGGGCCAGCGAGGTCCTTACATTTCCCGTTACCAAGGCTGAAAACTTATTTCCCCACAATGGCACCTAATGAGCTATGAAGGATATCAGAAAATGTTGATATTTGACCTTTACTAGTTGAAATGAAAAAGGTGGTATTTCAAGATTGAGATTTGAAAGGAATGATTTTAAAGTATTAAAAACTTTGAAATAATAATCAGAAAGTTTCTTACAATACACAAAAATTATACTTTTTTTTACTATTATGGATTCACCGGAACAGAAGACAAGATCCAGCATTCCAGGCCGTGTTATTACAACTTTCAAATCTTGGGCTGATATCATAGGCGTGTCTCTAAACGTTTTGATGACCCTGTTCTTTTACGTTTTTGGCGTGTTCTACGTAGTGCCCAAATTTTTTGGAATTTTCGGACAGACGGTGTATTTTCTGGTGGGCACTGCCATTGCATACAACATCTTCGGAAACTTGATAGCTTGCTACAAGACCGTGAGCTCGGTGGACACATTGCCACCAGAAATGATGGTACCGCAAGAGGGGGAGGAGCACCTGTGGCACTTCTGTGAAGTATGCCAAAAGACTGTACCGCCGAGATCCTGGCACTGCAAGGTCTGCCGGGTGTGTATTCTGAAACGTGACCACCATTGCAACTTTGTGGGCAACTGCGTGGGATATAATAACCAGCGGTATTTCATGTGGTTCTCATTTTGGGCAGCCTTTGGCAGCGGATTGGCCTTCTACCATAATATCAAATATGCCAACAGGAACGATATTTATTTCTTAGATATGCTTTCAATGAATGTAGTTCTTTACTACGAGTTTATGAAACCTGGTACATACGATTTGGGACTTCAGTTTGGAGTGAGATTTGTCTTGGGTTTTAATCTATTTGCCATCGCGTTTCCGGCCTTCCTGTTTCTCACACAGATCTACACGATTCGAAGGAACGCTGTAATGCATAATACTTCGGATCGTACTTATGATCTTGGAATCTATAGGAACTTTTCGGAAGTCCTTGGCCGTCGTCGTTTTTGGACTTTCCTATCGCCTAATATCAAAAGTCCCCTGCCCCACAATGGCACCCAATGGACATCGAAGCGTATTGTCTGAACTTATTTGATCGTATCACTCTTGACCATTGTCTGGCCTAGATTATATGTTTTACTGTGCATCCCACAGTATCGAGTCTTTCGCTTCATTTAATTCGGCTAATTACCTTGGAAATTTAAGGGGTGTACATGTGTTGAGGGGTTGGTTGGGGGTTGGAGAGCCACGTGTACAAGTTTATCGAATTGTCAGTTGGTATTGCAAATAACCGTTGTGTACTGTCGGTTAGGAGTCCATTAGTTTCAGGAATTTTACTCAGAAATATACATTAAAAGATAATATCTTTACAGAAGGGTGTCATATGTGGTAATAGATAAAGTATAGTACTGCATTATACCACAAAAAAGGAAAAAATAAATAAAAGAAAACATTTTCATAAAATTAGTAAATATCTTTGTGAATCACACTGGTATATTCAAGCATATGAAAAAGTCGCGTAGATAATTTTCTGTTCGCCTTTAAACGACTTACATTTGCATAAAGTTCCGCCCCTCCGGAAATCGCTGAGAAGTGCTTCCTGCCCATCGAAGTCAACCTCAAATCTGTCCATGGCTTGTGACACCTTATGCCGCAAGTCGAAAACACTTGTCAAATGTCGGAAAAAGCCAAAATCCGTTTTGAAAAATGAAAGCGGCTATAGGACAGTAACTTCGGAGATAGACAAGAGGATGGGGGCCATGGGAGAATTAATGACGGCGCATGCCAGTGACAACCCCAGAAACATGGAATCAAAGTCCGAAGAGTGGGCGTATCCAAGTTTCGGTGCATGAAAAATGTTCGAGGTGCGAAATCTGTTGCGAGGTCTAAACAACATAATTGCCAAATAAAAAAGTCGCCGCCGGCTCAAACCGCCTGACCATTAATCAAAACTGCCTGAAAAATGAGCACGACCATAGAACAGCAGATGCCTCTGGCTGGAAGCCCAAGTCCACGGGTCCACTGAGAAATGACATTGTCAACACTTTTTCGGCCAATCGGAAAAGGCGGGGTGGATCCCCGTCAGCGACATTTGTTCCGGCAATCGCTTATTGCTACTTCCATATCTAAGTCCCCGATTCTGCCTCCGCCTCCTCCGTCAACTGATGGCTGATGACCTCTGATTCGTGATTGCAGCGCACTCAATTGGGCAACTTCCGAAGGATACTGAAATAGAAGAAGGAAGGAGGGCTAAAATAACAGCTGATACGTGGTGCCTGGCCTTTAAAGATCCTGCACTAAGACCACAAAGCAGTTTAGCCCACCACAGTAATAGTCCCAGTAATCATACGCCGCATTGTCCTGGAACCTGTCCTGGCATCTGTTGTGGATATTTGAATGTGCCGTAAACAAGGTCCAATGGAATACGTTGGCATGTCAGCCAGAATAGTCTCAGATATTCAATTTTGGGTTTGAGAACATTAAACTGCGGGTCCATCTCTAATAGGGGAGAAAGTGGAGTAAGAGGATTGAGTCCTTTCGTCCTCACATACAGATAGCAACCTATGCCAGAAGATGGGTCTGTTGACTGGTCGGCTGACTGTCTCTCACAACCTAAAACCCCAAAACTCATTCTACTTCTGTGTGAACAGGACTAAAATTTACCGCTAAGCATTTGCCAACAACGTGCGGAGTGCTCAAAGGACAAAAGAGATATTCGGGAGAGGGGGTAAAGGACATGTGATGCTGGTCGGGATCATGGGGGTCATTGTAATCATAACGGTGGCTCTTCTCTCGAAAGTATACTTCCCCAACAGAAAAAAACTACACTGACAAGGCGCCAAATTAGTCATATTCTGCAACGGAAAACAGAATATATTAAAACATTAGCAATTCTAAGCAATTTCATATGGAAAATTGAAACATTTTCCACCCTGACCAGCTACAATTTTAATTCAATATTTCCCAGCTCTTTTTGGCAGGCCAACAAAAGCAATCGAGAGTAGCGGCTTTTTTCTGCAGATTTTTCACCAAGAATTTTCTCTGCTTACTGAGACGTTAACTGCGCTGCTGCTGCGCTGCTACTGTTCTGATTTTTCTCTGCTTTTCCGCTGCCTTTGCTCTGCTTTGCCGCTGCTTTTTCACTGCTTTTTGATGATGGACAAATGGCATCGCCAAAGGAGCAGCAACTAAGCAGCGACAGTTTTTATGATTTTTCGGTTTCAGCGAGTTTTCCTTTTGTTTGTTTTGCAATTGTTACCCCTGATGAGAAATGTGGACTCTACTGTTAATGTTGCTATCTCTTTCGCTGGTGTTTCTTATGTTAACTCACCCCAAATTTTGGCACTTAGCTACAATTTCGTATTGTTTTGTAGAATGAAGAAGGGGCAAACAAATTTGTGTTTGTCATATTTTCTTTGAAATTCGAGTAGTTGTTTGAAGGCATTCTTAAAATTTGCATACATTTCATGTGGCATGCACTCTGTTTTATGTATATCTTTCGTACGGTTTCTGGGTCTTTGGGTAATTTCATTTGCACGAAGTGCCTCACCTTTTGCCATCGGTGGTATTCCTTGCCGTTATTTGCATTCGCCTAGGGTTGTGACCCCTTGCTTGATATTATTCTGATATTCCTTCCACCCATTTTATTTGCCCGGCACTTCACACGCTGCCACTTTTCCATTTTCCACCCCCTCACCCTCATGCCCTTTGCACGTACGCACATTCAGTTTGCCATCCCCTTCCCTTCCCTTTTCTTTCGTTTGCGGTCATTTAACTGATGTTTCTATCTCGTCCAGACTTTCTTTGTCTCCGTCTGGCCCTCGACCATGTAGCCTCTTCTCGCTTACACTTGGCCTGCGGCCTTTTCCGGATGGCAAACGGCAAATGCTGAAATCGTGCGAAAAATTAAATAAATGACCAGCTCGATTTGCCCATTCCTATTCGACCGATCGGGTTCGCCTTAATTTCCACCTTATTTATGGCTTTAATGTGCTATAATTCTGCATTGATTTCCATTTACCTTTTAAATTTATGGCTCAGGAGGGGCCTCCGATCGGAGTTAGCTTCTTGAATATTTTGGCAATTTTTATACAAGAGATATCAATCGAATTTCTGGCCCCATTTCATTTGCAGGCTTATTGGGTATGTTGCAAGGGAACTTGAATAATGAAATGGAGAATTGCCTTTGAGCTTATAGTTTGTCCGTTTTTAGAGTTTGGATTGACATCAAATAAAAGTCAGATCAATTTTTAAAAATATTTTCCAAAACATGGATAAGAATCAACTCCTATTCTCTTTCTCCTATCATTATTTAAGGTTTAAAATAAATAAGCTATATAATAATCAATTTCCAAGGTACTTTACATTCGTTATCTTAAAATGAGAACCAAAAAACATCACCCTTTCCTTATCCCTTTCGCACTTTTTGAAGCATCTCGTTTGCATTCAGCAGCAAATTGGCCAACGGCCTTGCAGCTTGTACTACGAAATTGCCTTTCATAGCGTCAATTCCATCAGCAATTTCCGCGCCAATTAAAAAATTGTTGCAACTGGCCGTTTTCGTTTTCTGGCCCTTGGCATTATTCGCCACTTTTCCATGCCGAGCACGCACTGAACGGGGAGCGGGGTGGAGAAATGGTGGGAAACTGTTAAAGGGGTGGGTGGAAAATGCGTGGGAGGATGGTATATACTGCACTGCAGTGACTGTGAAGGGGAGGCGGAATTTTCGGGCGTGGATTCGCGAATGAGCTTCATCTGGCACGCCTCTTTCTCTCTCTTTTTGTTGTTCATCATAAATAAATACTGTTAATTTTTCAATTGTTCGCTTGGGCGCTTAACGGCCTCCGCCTCTTCGCTTTATCCTCCGACCACCCACAAAACGTGGCACGTGCACCGTCATGCACATGATGGAGGCGCCTCCCGGAAAATTTTACGCCAGGGGAACCCGATTCACCATATGCCAGAGTCAAAATATGTGCTGCCCGGAAGTTTTGGGCTACGTGGTGACGGAGATTGACAGACTAGACAATCGGTACACTAAAATAAGTAATAAAACTAAATTAAAAGTAATTTTATGAACAAAGAAATAAAGGAAGTAAATACTTTTAAAGTTATTAAAAACTTTTAATGTATTTTTTATGTTATTATTTTAAAAAATGTTAAAAAATTATATAATCCTTCATTTTAAAAGGTTTTCCTGCCGTGTATGAGCAATAAAGTTGACAGTTTTCCATCAGACGGGAACGTGACAGCTTGGAGAACGAGAAAAGCTGAAGGCCATGGATGGAGGATCCCAAGCAGAGGAAGACCAAATCCTAGAGGGCACGTGGTGTTGTCTGGACGACGGATAGAGCGACGTTGGAAAAGTTGGAACCGGCGTCGCCACCGGATATCAAACAGTTTTTGGCTGTTTGCTGGAATGCCCCGTCCTAATATGCAATATACAATATCCAAATATCCCACTCACACACACACACAAACTGGCATTCACACATGCCAGGAGCATCTGTCACACTGGGAGAATCATCTCCTTCTCGCGCTCATCGCTCCAGAACGGAACTTGATGAGCAAAAGCCATTTTAATTTCAAACGCTTCCCCGCCTTGACTTTATATAAATCTGTCAGCCATGACAAGGCGCATCTGTCGGCTCCTCCCACCAATCGGAATGCCTAATCGAAGTAAATTGAATCACATAAACGCGGCAATGTGCCGGAAGGACCAAAAAACAGGCAAAGGAGCAGCGACCTTACCGAAGTGCTTGTGTGAAACTGGGAAGTGAAAGCTGTTCAATTTGAAAGGGAATGGGAAAGGGTGGAAAATCAGCCTTGGGCTAAAGTAACAGGCTGAAAAGGATACAAAGCTTATCTGGGAAATATGGTAGAAACTAAACATAAACTGGTTACTGGAAGTACAAAACCTAACAATTTCTTGTTTATACTTTTAAACATTTAAAGGCCAACAAAGGACTCTTAGCCCTTAAGCTATTTTAAGCTAAAATGTTGAGTGCACAAGCATTTAAATGTAAATTAATGAATATTTATACAATTGCATTACGATAATAAATCAAAGGGCCTTAAACCATATCCAATCAATGATCGGTTAAATCCCCCATCCAATGAATGTGAAAAACCATTTAAATAATTTCGCACTCAT